TGGGTCTGATCTCTAATTCCCATGACCCCTGCTGGCCAACTGTCAATCATATGACATCATGACACCCACCTGACAAAGCTGAGCAGCATGGATGGAACAAGAGTCTGCTTCGCGAGTGCAGTCCTCTCAGGGAGCACTCTCCAGCAATTGGTGAGTGAAGGATTCAGTTCTGCTGGCTGCAGGGGTCTGCAGCATCCGGCAGAATTGAGCCATGTCCCCACCAATCAGCTGACATCACCCAGTGACATAATCTGATGGACACATGGACATGGTTTGGGGAAAATGGCCTCATGGGCCAGCTAGATCCCCTAGGCGGGCTGCAAGTTTCCCACCTCTGAGCTGTCAAGTTTTAGCCCTGCTCAACACAGGGAGCAGCAAAGCACCTATGAGTTCCTTCCTCAAATCCCACAAGCTTGCATAGTCCTGCTAAACCAAGGTTTTGTTTAACATGCCATGCGAAGCAGCCCTATAGTGCCAGGGCTCACATTTCTATCAGTGATGCTTCTTTTCAAATCACCATCACTAATAGGAAGGGATATTTATTTTCTCTGCAACTCAGTTTGAAATCTACACACTGCTGTTTTAAAAGACTTGATGCTATGATACTGCCAGGGAAGGGAGCAAAGCCAGAGAAACTGCTTGAAGCCTCTAAAAGTTTATTACTGTACATGGACTGGGTGACAAGGAGAACACAAGTCAGCTGGTAAGGCAATGCTCCCGCCTCCATCCTCTCCACAGATAAAAAGGAGGTGCCCTCCAGCAAATTTTGGGAGCAGAACAAACTATGCAGCACCGACTCAGCTTCTGTTATGCAATGCTCTGCGTTATAAAGGAGCACCCTGTGGACCCCATGAACTTGCCCATATTAGGCATAAGGAGACTGAACTGGAGTTTGCTAGTGCATGAAGAAATCTTGATGCAAGCAGCCTAAACCCATGCTTAGCCTTTTTATACTAGCTGAAATTAAACATGAGTAGATCCTTTAGCTCAGTGTTTCCCAACCACTGTTCCGCGGCACACTAGTGTGCCGCGAGATGTTGCCTGGTGTGCCGCAGGAAAAATTAAAAAATTGAAAGATTTTTTTTTTTTGGTCAAATTTTCGATTGGGGCGCCGTCACTAGATGACCCCTGGGGTTCCCTCCCTCCCTCCCGCTCTGCGCCTCCCTCCTCCTCCTCCTCCTCCGGGGAGGCCCTTCCTGGCTCTCGGCCAAGGCTTGGCGGCTGCCACTCACTCACTCGCTCGCCCACCCGTCCCTCCATCCCTGCACCCGGCCTCTCCCCCTCCGTCCCCGGTGCGGGGGCTGCTGGGATCCGTAGTCCCCTCGCCCTTGGGCTCCGCGCCCGCGCGGGGTGCGCAAACTACGTTTCCCAGCGTGGCCTGGCGGGCCGGGCGTTTTGTTTGAAGCGCTCTTCTCCCGGCCATGGAATGAGCGCAGCGGCGGCGGCCGGGCGGGCAGGGGCTCTTCCGCGCAGACCCCGCGCAGCCTGCCTGCGCCCCCCGGAGATCGGGCGGCAGGATGGAGCCCGGGGATCCCCGCGGAGGCGGAGCGGCGGAGGCTGCCCCCCAGGTAGGGCTGCGTCGAGAGTTTTTTATTTTTGCAATGCTGCATCCGCGCTGGAGGGGACGCATCGGACCGCGGGGAGACCCCTTGGCGGGCGTGCAAGGCAATGCATGCGTGCAGGCGTTGCGTGGAGTGCAGTGCAATGCAATGGCAACGCGGCGCCCTGCATGCATGCATGCAACTTCCACCGGCGCTCCGGACTTGGCAGGTGAGGGGGGTCCCCAGTGGGCGGCAGAGAGAGCCGGGAGGGCGAAGGGGAGCCGGGGGGGGAGCAGCGCTGCTCCCCGAGCCGAGCCCGGGGGGAAACTTCGGCGTCGTTGCGCCGGGTGTTGGAAGCGGAGGCTGGCGGGGGCCCCTCACCTGCAAAACCTGGTCGCCTCTCATATATTTCGTGCATTGCATTCATCGCCCGCTTTCTCCTCCAAGGAGCTCCCGGGGGCGCGCGTGGTTCTCCCCGTGTTATCCTCGCAACAACAGCCCTGCGAGGTGGGTCAGGCGAGTGGCCCAAGGGAGCACCCAGGGATTGTCCTGGCCAGGTGGGGTGATTTGAACCCTGCTCTCTGCCCGGTCTTCGTCCTCATTTAGCCCCCACATGTGCATGACTGTGCATGACTGAGGTTTTCCCCCCTCGTCTTGGCTATGGTGTGAGTCTGTGCTGTTAATTAATGGGGTTCTGCCTTCGGAGAAGATGAGCCAGCCCTCAAGGAGGTGAATTATGTAATTTGCTAGCAATTCATGTCCCTCCCGGCGTGACGCTGCGCGCTGACGTCACGGGGCTGTAATGGTGGTGTGCCTCGAGATTTTTTTCATGAAACAAGTGTGCCTTTGCCCAAAAAAGGTTGGGAAACACTGCTTTAGCTGTTTAATTCATAAGGGTATAAATTTAAAATGCACAAAAAATAAAATAAAAAATCCAAATACACAGGAAACCAAAACTAACAAAGCAAAGATCAACAGAGACAAATGAGATGTTCTGCATTTGGGCAGAAACGACAGCAACCCTAAACCCAATTCCAGAGGTACTGGATGGGAGATCCTTGGCTCAGCAGTAGCATATATGAAAAAGATCTCAGAATTGTAGCTGATTCCATGAGCTGAACATGTATGCAGTTGCAAATAGAGACTAAGGTGACTGCATTAACAGAGCTATAGCATACAAGTCACAAGATGTAATATTTCTGTTACATTCTGCACTAGTAGGACGTCACCTGCAAGAATAAGACCTACTGTGTCCATTTCTAAGAAGAATATAGGCAAACTGGAATGGGTTCAAAGGAGGGCAGTGAAGAGAGTCAGTGGTATGAAAAAATAAGCCCAAGAAGGAAAAGCTGAAGGAACCAGGTACATTTAGCATTGAGAAGAAAAGACTGAGGGGTGACAGTGTGTGTGTGTTCATGGTAGCAACTCTTCAAATACTTAAGAGCTCTCAGGCTGTGTATGCACCAGAGTGCTAATGTGCATATAGGCCAGACAGATCTGATTCTTTCATGTGCGCATTTGTGCATATCTGCCCACACATTTTCAATTGAATCAATGTTCCCCATCCACACTAGTGGGCAGTGCTTGGTGGGATATATTTGCACTGTGTGCTGCTATCCCTTCAATTAGTACTTCCTCACATTCCCTAATTTCTAGAAACCTGAAGTCCACTGTGTGCATGAATGCAGGTATTTGTTTACCTGTGCATGCAGCCATTAAAAAAAAATGAGAAACATGTTTTCTGATAGACCAGACTTGCACAAATAGCAGGTAAAAAAAAAGGTATGTGTGTTGTGCCCCCACTAGCAGCCCCCAGAGGAGCACCATTGGGAGCGGTTTTGACAATGGAACCAATTACAAAGGCATGGACAAGCCATCTCATGAGGATGCTCTGGTTCTGAATTTCCTATTTGATGAAAATCCTGAATTGCAGGGCGTTGGACTAGATGATCCTTGGTGTCTCTTCCACTTCTACAATTCTAAGTTTCTATGAAGATGATCTGGTTCAGAAGAATGTTGCACTAGATGGTATATTTATTTATTTACATATTATTCCATTTATTACTAGCCCTTCACCAGGAGGTCCCAGGGTGGGTTACAATAATTGAAAATTCAGTATTTTAAAAAGTTAAAACAACTTGCAGGAATAGGGTGGGTCCCGACTCAAACACCCCTCAGACTCAGCATATCTGTCTTTTCCCAATAGCTCTATGCACCAATCACATATGAAAGTTATAACCCAGGAAAGCTACTATAATAACAACTGTAATTGATTTTGACCCAGCAATGCCACATCAGTTTCTAATGCCAGGTCTTCCGAGTTTATAATGATACAGAAAATTAAATATAATGCTAACACAAGGAGAGGAAGGAAGCAAATTCTATATCCCTCCAAACCCCCTTCCCAAAATAATATGTCCGTCTTCTCCCGCAGGGGTCTGGCCTCCTTCCACTGAGGCTGGCTCCAGTGGCTTTGCAGAGAGAAGTGCTGACTCCAGAAATATACAGTCATTCTCCTAAAAAAAGGCTTCTAAGAACTTAGTGCACATTTAGAGCTGCAGTCAGAGACTGATTGCACGAGAATAGAGAGTGTTCAACTTTGCCTTTTCCATCTTTTCTTCCATGTGATGATAGCCAATGGCTGGTGGTGAGTCACCAGCAGGAGGAGACCTGGTCCTCTTTCTCTCGGCCACAGTGGTTACCCAAAAAAATCCCTACTGCTCTTTCAGAAGTAATGCATTAATTTGCAGGGAGAGTATGGCTTTCTAGTTGTACCTTCTACTGTCCCCCTTTCAGAGCTACAAAATTCAAGAGCCCTGGTTTTAATGCCAGCTCCTTCAAGCCTTACATGTTGGAAATGTTTTGTCTGGGTGTAAAGGCGAGGACAATGAATGACCTTAACCTTTCTTCCAGTTCACAACTGTGTAGATTCATAATCATTTTACAGGAGCTGAACTCTCTTCCGGGTCTCATATATTCCTTTGAGTCTTCTAAGGAATCAGAGTCTTCTGCATACACTACCTTACCAAAACCAAACAGGGGCATCCCTTATCACCACCCCTTTGCCTGTGCCATTGAGATGATCATTAAAGAGTTCACCAGAGTGTGGAGTGATTCTGCTGTGACCTGGCGATGCCTGCCAAGGGCAGAAAGAGGGTCAAAAGGGGTACAGTCCACACTGTTTGTGTGTGTGTAAGATTCCTGCAAACTAAACATTTCCTGGCAAGCAACTTGTGGGAACAACTGCCTTTCTCGCCTCCGCTTCTCCTCCATGAGGACTAGGGGGCTGCAGGGAAGATCTTCCGCGAAGCGCAATCTAATGTCACAACACAGGAAAGTCCTCGCTCAAGCTTGGCCCGGATCAGCCCGAACCCGCCTGCAAAGTTGCAAGGGCGCTCTAGTCTAGCGACACATCTCCAACCACAGACGGCGCGGGAGGGAAAACGCAGCGAAACTCACCTGCTTCTCCAGCTCGGGACGACCCTCGCTTTCCTTGCCGCCGCTGCCGCCGAAGGGGGGCGCTCCGAGCCGGGTACTGGGGGGCGGGGGAGCGCCTCTCCGGAGTCTCGCCGCCAGTCCCGATGGAGGGTAAGATCCGGCTCAATTCTGGGGGTCAGATTCTCGCAGTCCCCCACGGGGTGTCCGTTGCCTGCGGCTGGTGTCTCCCTCTCCCGTGGCTGGCTGAGGAGCGAGGGGCTGCCCGGCTTCTCCTCCCCGCTCTAACTCTCCCCAACCCGCAGCGCCGGCGAGTCAACCCAAAGGGGTGGAGCTGGCTCGAGCGGCGGATCCGAAGTGGCTCCCGCAGGCGTCAAGAGTTGAAGACTCCCTGGGTGGGGCGTCGATCAATGCCGGGAGCCAGCAGAGGAGAAAGGCAGGAGCGGAGCGCGGGGCCCACGCCCGGCAGAAGCGCAAGAAGCAGCAGCAGCCGCGATCGGGAGAAGCTGGCCGCCCGGGGCGGGGAAGGGTCAGCCGCCGCCCTCGGCCACGTGCCCGCCCCCACCCGCTTTGCTCTCCACCACCGCGTGGGGTTGCCCGTCGCCCCTCTCCACGGGAGCGGGCCCCGGAAAACCGGAAGGACACTCACTCTTTTGGATGGATAGAGCCGGCCATGATACTGGCAGTAACTTCACTGCTCTCCAAGTGAAGTTAGCCAGCCCTTCCATGAGTTGGGGTTGTAGCCTATGCTAGGCCTACGCCAGAGTGGACACATTGATGTTAACGGACAGGACTAACTGAGGTTCATTAATTTCAATGGGTCTACTCTTGAGTCGAGCTGAGTTGTCTGCGACCCTGGATGCTTTGATCCCCGTGCAAACCTCATGCTATGCCCAAGCTTCCTTCTTCAAGGGCTTGCAAAAAAAGAAGAGGAGGTGTTTAGAATTCAAACCGTACTGCAATAAAACATGTATTATAAGAAATAAAAGAAGCAATAAAAACACAATGTTAAATCAGTATGAATATTTAATACAGGCACACCATAGACCACCCAAATGAAGCTTGTGGAGGCACCATGGGGGAAGGGGGCGGGATGGGACACAAAGGGCACCTGGGGAGTGTTCAGCTCTTCCAGCTTCTCTGGTTGGAATGTTACCCCTCGGTTTTGTTTTGTTTTGTTTTTTGGTCAGGCCGTTTTTATACCACCCCCCCCCCTACTTGTGATCCTAAGCTCCTGTCTCACACCTGTCCCTATGCTCCACTGCTGGCAGTGGGGGGGGGCCTGGAGGAGGTGCACACACCCAAGCAATATTGCTCCCAGAAGGGCCTCCTTTTGCTACAGCTCCATGACCCCAGTATTTGCTATTTCTATTGTCCATTCTTGGGCCTCCTTTGCAAGAGCAAGGCGGGTGGAACAGGCTGCAAGGCCCTTTATGACCTTGCAGTCTGCTAACAGAGGCGCAGTCTTTAGCATGGGGTTCTGGGAAAGTTCATGGCTGCTAGTCCAGCCAGCTCTTACTGTAAGGCATTCTCTCTGCCTCCCACTCTTTCTCGGACAGCGGGGTTGCTCACTTCCCCCACTCCCAGCATCTTGTAGAACAGGTTACTGGCTGGCGATTCCCCCCAAGGGCCTATGGCTTTCCTTTGCTCAGCTAGCAGAATGCAACTTGACTTTAGTCTATTGCACTTTAAAAACTGAAGTCTTTCCCAGCTGCTGGGAATCAAGAGGGCTATAGACTGTATGCTGGCTTGTTTATTAATGAATTATTGGGCGGTGTGTGTGTCTATATTTCTGTACGATCTCTACATATACTCTATATATAGTGAGTGAGTGAGTGTATATACTCTATATATACAGATGTGAGTATGTATAACCCACTTTTATATAGTGTTTCCAGCTATCCTCTTTCATGCAGGGTGGTATATGAGAGAGAGAGAGAGAGAGAGAGAGAGAGAGAGAAAGAGAAGGTACTCTCCAATGCATAAGGAGGTAACAAAGCCATGCAATTCTTTAGTGTCACCTTTTGTTTCTGTTGACTACCCCCTCAGCAGGGAGACATGGGGGGGGCGCATTAAAAACCATGCATCTGCTGTAATGCGTACATATGCAGTACATATGCATTGGGAAGCAGCAGATAGTTGTGACTTTGGGGGGGTGGGGTGTTTTTAATAAAATAGCTGCGTATGCAATTCCCAGATGACTATACATGTGATTTTGACCCGGAAGGGGTCTTAAGACTATGGCAGACACCACAGATTCAAGCATGTCATTTGGTATCTATAGTCAAAGTTGCAGGTCATATTGTCTTGTAGATTAAATGCCTAACTTGAGCCTGCTAACTGTGTAATGAGAACTCCCTGTAATAGTGAACTCGGGTGGTGAGTTCCAATAGAAATGGAGTAAATACAGGGCCACTGAGAAATGAGGAAGGCATCGGCTTGTAATTGGGGGTTTGTTGAAGCACATTTAAGCAAAAAACAAAAAATATTCCCTGGTTACTAAGCATGCTCAGTAACCAAAAAATGTTGATTGACGGATGTCAATTGGAAAATAAAAATAGAAAATGGAGCAGGGAGGGAGAGAATGGAATGGCCTGCTGGAGGAGAGCATGGCTGGCAGGTTCATGCTTGGAGATGAGATTACATTGCAGCATTTTATTGCAAGTCTCACTTGTAAACATATCATAAAAACAATGACAGTTGGCCTATCCTAAAGACCTACCCTAAAGACTCGTGATGGGTTGCAACATAGCTTTATCTCACATGCAGCCAAAACTTACGCAGGGTTCCTGCAATGCAAGACCCAATGAATTTTTATGAATAAATGTGCATAGGAGTGCAGCCTTTATCTATTTATTTAGAAAAACTTGTATACAGCTTACCACAGAAAGCCCCCAAAGCTGTGTACAACATAGAGAAAGACATTAAAGTCATCTTATATTAAAAAGGAATGCCACAGGTGTCATCAAAAATATAGGAGGACTGGAACTAGTACTAACAGGGGAAATGGTTGGGTTTTTAACAAATGTCAAGTGCCCCCTGTGGCTGGTGCCTCCAAAATAACCAGGGGTGGGGTGTGCAGAGCATTCCAAAGAGTAGGAGCTACCACAGAGAAAGCCAGGGGCTTTCAGTTGACATAACCTCCATAGTTCTCACTGACGTTGGAAGAAGCAGTTGTTGTTGCAAACTGTGCTTCGTTTGAAATCAAACCTATGGTAGGAATTTAAAGACCTGATGCAGTCAAGAATTTTGCCAAAGGAAGACCTGGCAACTATGCATACTTAAGTGCCTTCCTCAACTGCAATTCATTCTGACATGAGTAATGTTTAATCCACGAGAAAGCCAATCCACATAGTTGCATTACAGATACTCATTTTACATCTGTTTTATTTTTTAAAAAGTATGATCAGATTGCTCAAATGTTTTGTTGCTGTTGTTGCTGCACCCCTATCCTCAGTAACGGATACCGGTATTGACTCTGAAACAGGAGGTAGCATATTACCATCATCAAGACTAGTGGCCACTGAAATACAGCATGAGTCTGTCTACTCCCCTTCTAAAGCCATCTACGTTATTGGACATCACTACATCTTCCGGCAGTGAAAACCACAATCATTGTGTGAATAAGTGCTTCCTTTTGTCTGTCCTGAATATAAGCAAACAAACGTTGCTTACTGGGAACTTTTCAAGCAGTGAAAAGTTGCCTCAAGAAATTAAAACTGCCTCTGTTCAAAAGATGCTCCAGCTACTAGCATGTTTTAAAATGGGCTAGTTGCATCAGCAGAAAAGTTAAAGACTCTCTAGTCTAGTCTATATAGCTCCGGGCTGTGGTTAATTTAACCACAGTTTGTTTGTTTGTCCAAAACCCTGCCCAGTGGCTATAGTATGTGCATTGCCAACGAACTTTGGCCTGAAGGCATTATGTATTGTTGGCTTATGAACCTTGCTTTGTTTAGCTATGGCTTGCCAACATGTGCACACCTGGCAACTTTCATTAACCCTGATTTGTTTGGCTGTCCCACCCCCGTCATTCATCAAGGTACAAAAGCATGAGGCAAGAGGAGCTAGAAAACAAATAAAGCCTTAGAGAAACAAACTATGGTTTATTTGATTGTGGGACAGTTCATGGTTAATTCATGGTTTGTTAAACAAACTACGGCTTAGTGTTATGTGCGAATCAGGCCTATGTTAAGAAAGCAGTTAACTGGTGCAGGAGAGCAAACTATTCTCATAAAATCTGGTAATAAACATATTCATGGGATATCTGTAATACTGGATAGAAATTATGCATTCTTTCACAGTCTGTAAATTGCACAACATGGAGCCAAATTGTATGCAGGCTTACTCAGAAGTAAGAGTATCTAAACTGAGTAGGACTTGCTCCGAACTAACTCTGCATAGAATCTTAGCCTTATATATGTGCAATTTTTATTTTGTTGCACAACTCTTCACAAATCCTAATTATGGCCACAATGAACTTAATCAGGCTTGAACACAATCAGTATAATTTGAAGGTGTGCTTCAGAATGGTGTTTAAATTCAGCTACAAATCTACACAGATTTGTGGCTACACAGTGAGCAGGATAAAGAAACAGGCGCAGTCCAAGTTTATGGGTGAAATGTTAATGTACAAAATTCTTCACTGATTAAAGTGAGATTTCAAAACGACTCTGCCAGAATTGCCAAGTTTACAAAAACTCAGCATTAGAAACTTGGCAAGCAGCAAAACCAACAGAGAATTTTGTGATACCATAAACACTGGCAGATTTATTGTGGCACGAGTGGGTTTCCTTTATTTATAGCTATGCCCTATGCTAACCCTATGCTAGCAGTCTTGGCGAGAGCACATGAATCATGTGACATCCCCAACACAAGAACAGCTGACATAAAAAAGAGCTATCAGGTATGAATAAAGTAAAGTAGGTATTATTGCAGTGGGTTGGGAGTACAGTTTTTTGGTTTTTTTTTACACCAGTGAGCAGTGGCAGTAGAAATGAGGGAAGAAGAATGAAGCTTTCTTTTCAAAAGCTGGCTTTCTTATTTCCGTTCCATAAATTACCACCTGCATATATGATAGGGATAATCTTGTTCGACCGAGGGTAGTGGTGTAGTGGCTAGACTG